ACGCTGATGGTGTGGGCGGAGACACCCAACCACAGTACCTTCCTTCTTTAGTCCGTGCTCCTCGTTCAGTAAAGAGAAGAGGTAGGACAGTGAAGCAAGGTGTAATGGTTTGCTGCCTTCGACTATATCAACTATCTGCGCTTCAAACCCACTCGCAATTCAAATCAATGCACCTCGTAGGAGCCCCTCGTTGCTTAAAACAACCTGCCCAAAAAAATGGAAAAAAACGAAATATAAGGATTGAGACTCACCTGGCGCAGTGATACCCAGCAATCCGTGTTCTCCAAGCTTCTTCCAGAACGGCCGTAACTCTTTGAACTCATTGGTTTGATCGATCGTCTGCGCATGCGGAGCTAATTCCTTGTCAGCAAAATCACGAACGGATTTCCTCAGCTAAAAGCGAAATAAATGCCAAATTCTTAACATCACTCTCTGTACTGGTGAAGAAAGAGGGTGTGGTATCTTTTGGGCTTAGTTACGACATTGGCTCAGATTATCGTCTTTAGGGATGGAGGGATAAGGCTTCCAAGATTAGTCAGTCTTTTACGGGATAAGCTACGCATTGCACTTGAGTTCAGAACTGTGGTAATTTCTTAAATGCGTTGTGGCCTCTACGAAATCTTGTGAAAAAGGGGTTGGGGCAGCCGATACCTGTAAAGGCTATATCCCGAAAATGGGATAGGTGTGGCTGCGTACATCATACGAAGAGGATGTTGAGTATGTAGACTGCGTTTTTCGTGGAATATTTCCCTTTGAAACTGCTTATCTGCTTTTTCTTCTGAACGAAGACATGATTACAATTGTCCCAAAACATCAATATTCCACTAGAATATTCGCCATCGTCACGTTGAAATGAGGTATGCAGTTACACCCTCCCCCTCTTCGAGATATAGGGGTTAATTCATCTGTTTGTTTTTCACTTTAGAAGAGTCAGCCCAGCCAGACTCTCGATAAAGGATTAGAGGCCTCATCAAGCTCAGGCAGAAAATGATCCTGTGATGAGTTTCACCCTTGACTGTGCGCGCGCCAAGCAGCGTTATTCGCCGTTATTCGCAACATCTTTCGTAATGCACCGGCCCTTTTAGACGAGTAGGAAACAGCCTGTGGTAATAGGTGCCATTATTAAAATAAGGAGTTTTACAGTTTATAAGTCTTCACCGCAATTTCGTCTTCGCTGAGACCGAACATGGTGTCGGGAATGGGATATGCTGACATTTGGCGACAAGAAGTCAGCTGACGAGCCGCGCCTCGAAGGAGTGTCGACAACGACATGGTGTTACCTGAAGAAACCATGAAGAGGAAAAGAAATGTAGCCAAACATGAACAACGGCGAGAGGATGAAAAGGAGATATGCGAACCTTCAATCGAAAAACAAAACAGGCCCTGTAAAAAAGGGCCAGTAAAGGAAAAAGGTTCAGCATAATAATGTGTGGAATGGCGGTACCACTACCTCTCTTCTCCTCTCTGGCGTTCCCTTCCATACTCCTCATCTGGTGCTTTCTTTTCATTTTTCCTCACTCTTCCCTATTCCATAGATAATTTTCTACGGCTTTTCTTCAATTTTCCGAATTTCTTTCCGGTTCTTCACCCAGAAAACTGCGTCGAGTTAGCGGAGGGGGCGGGGGAAATCGGTGGATGGAGAATCAGCCACTAATTTGAACTGCAAATTTTACCAGAATTGGTACTTGGATGGTGGTTCTGCTGTGCTCGCAACCAGAGGAGGGAAGGTACGAGCATGGAGTGACGAAAACCGAGAGAAGTCAAAAATCAGAAAAAATTTCTCATGATTCGAAAAAATTTCTCAAAGGCAGATACGACCCCTCTCCCATGCAGCGAAGAACTTTCTTCAGAGGCAAATTCAACGCTTCCCTACCCCTCATTCCTCTCCACCCGGCGACCGAGTACGACCTCCCTGATGGATTCTCCCAACGATGCCTACTCTTGATGGAAGAAAAGAGACAATGATAAAATGGTAGGAAAAAATTCGTGATAAAATGGAGTCAGGATGAATCAAGTATGTAGTTTTCTGTCCTAGTTGGAATCAGAACGTTAATCGTTTACTGGGACAAAATGCTCTTGGATTTCAACGAAAATGAACGCCTAGCAACAGAAACCACTCTGTAATGACATAAAACGCTGACAAGTCTTTGGCTCTGTGATGAATTGCATGGGGCAAAAGGCCAGGTGAGGCTTGAATAAGGACTAACACACTGCGAATTCTCTCGGTTAAAGGTTATTAAAAAGATGAATCCATCAAACTCCAGCTAACATTAGTCTGAATGTGAGTATTTCAACCAGATGCTCTCTTTAAAGGTTATAAAAAAGATGAATCTATCAAGTCTCCAGCCAATCATTACATCGTGTGTGGTTTTACAACCAATATTGACATACCACCTGAAAGCCACAGAGAGTCAAAGGATGTGAAGGTCTGATACGAGTGCATGTTGGATAGTCCGCACGTTCATTAATTGTCATTTATTTGTGATGCCCTGGTCGAGCTTACTCACGAAATCACTTCCCTATCACCCCTCCAATCGGCTTCCTTTCGCTTTCTTAGAACGGAAACTTGTTAATGAGAATTGGTTTGACCCCTAAACATGAACATACATGCAATCGTCATGAGAGAACTTGACGCTGCCTCCGAACTACCTCAACACACTCATATTTGGCAGACGAACTTAATGTCCAGGGGTAGCTTGACCCCCTGCACAGCCGTGTTCCCTCAATAGCCTCAGCATTTGGTACGAAACCACTTGGGATCCGCTCTAGAGCCACTGCCGTCAAAACAGGCCCACGGTGGTGGCGCCTGTGCGCCAAGCGGTTTCGTGCAAAGCGAATATGACTTTCGTGTTCAAGATGTCAAACTACCCCTGGGGGCTAACTTCTCGCTCAGACGTCAAAAACTGAGCAATAATAGCTGAAGTGTGATAAAAATTAGTTATTTTTTTAGGGGGCGCAGGTGGTGCCACAACAAGTGGCCCGCCTATGACGCTATAGATCAAAACCCGCCCGCCCGGGCCATCCAAGCCTTCCGTATAGAGTAAGCGAATCGGTATCAGACTTTTGAGGGGAAAGTAAAAGACTGGCGTACATCAGCTTATCCCCCAAGTCGCGCCATAGGCCAAATTGGACTCAGAAACCCTACAGTCCTGCATGTGGTAGAATGCGTGCCGCACCCTAATAAGGGTTGATCAGCGACAGAAAGTTTCCGAAGGGACACCTGGAACATCACTGAATTTAGCAGCCTCCAGTTATTAAGTAACCCCGTAGTACGCAAAAAATAAATTTTGAAAAATTGATTGTCACTTGTTGGTTGACCGTTCTGATAAGTGAGCAGGCGTGAAAAAACCGGTCTACCCGTGACACCACCGGACAAAAACATTCGATAGATAGCTTATCGCTCTTGCCACGAAATTCATGGGGAGACAGCTTCTCCGATAGAAACTTTATCGCTACATCTACAACCTTCTTTTGTCGTCTGGCAAACCGACAAGGTAATCAAATTTGAGAATAAACCCTTGGGATGCTACTCATACCTTACAGTGTCTCTGCAAGTCAGCATAAAACAACAAGAAAGTGAAGCAAACTGGAAGAAAATCTAGAAATATTCCAAAAATAAAAAGTCAAAAAATGAAGCAATCGCCATACTTTTTAAATGTGCCACGCAATCTGCTTCCGGTTAGAAGCGGGGAGCCATTTAGAAGACGTATCTGCTATAAAATGGCTCATGGGGGCCAGTTGATGTACGAGCAGGTGTTTTTATCCACTCAAATAAGTCGAATTAGTTAACCCCGGGGAGACGAAAAGCTTGGTCAGCTGGAGCTGAGATCTGACCCCTTCCAGTGGATGTTGCAGCTACACCACTTGCTGCTACCATCTCATTCTCCGAAAACGAAGAAGAACAAAATAAACACAACAAAATAAAGCGGAAATCAATGGAAACGAAGGTCCAAAGGGATATGCATTTGGGATACAGGAGTAACCAGCCTTAACCGAAGCTGAAGCTAAATTTCAAAAATGTATATTATTTTCTTCTTTTATTATACTCCTGAAGAGCAAGCCGACAGCATATGTGATAATGGGCCGGCACCGCGCCAACCTAAGCCTCCTGACAGGCCTTACATTTTTTTAGCGCCCGAAGCAAAAACGACTATGGCTATACTTCGCGCCAGATTCTCCCCCCTCGAGAGCCGTAATAATATTTCGTGATTACAGAGTCAAGCAAGTTGCTTCACGTTGCGTTCTAGCATTGGGAGTCGGGTGGGAACTCTCTCCTCCTCCTTCTTCTCTCTCTGAGACGATCTGCAACAGGGGCTCGCAAAACTGCAAAAAAACGGCATGGTGAAAGCCAGCGTTCGCAGCGACACTCCCCTCCTCTTTCCGGTGACCGACCCAACCTTTCTTATCCCACGTTATCATCCCCAACATTCCCCACATCAGTGTTCCCCACCAAGAATGTTTCAGTTTTTTTTTCGTCAAACTTTGTCTAAAAACTCTTCCTCTCCAAAATAATCAAGGCGTCGAACGGAGGATCTCCCCCACAACTGTCACAGTTTGCTATATAAGATCGCGCGCTGAATATTGGTCTCACTGATAACGAGTCCTCCCCGCCTCCCCACTTCCAGCAACCCTGTAGACCCACGCTGGATTTTTCGACTACCCCAAAATCCCAACGCAGCTCAAGTACATCGGCCAATCCTCCCTCGAGCCGATCCCCTCAGTGAAGGGGCATGCAACCCTTACAAGCTTTTCACTTTTGTGAATTTCTGATAGAAACAAATAGTCTAGTAGATATATTACCAGTGAATTTCAAAATGCAACTGGAAGTGCAACGATTGAAAAACCAGTCGGGTAGTTAGAAACGTAATCAATCAAAAAGTGTACTCGGACGAGAGCAACGAAATACGACAATAAGTGAATGAATGTAACATCGCTCAATAGAGCGATGAACAAAGACGTGAACACTTACATTTTAAGAACCACAGTTCTATAGCCATCTTAAATTAGTAGTACAGAAAGGGCAATAATTTTACAAAAACATGCTACTTTGATGAGCAGATAAACCAGTTATTTGAAGAAAAAACGATGACATTTTGAGGAAGATATTAAATTAAAAATCAGCACAGTAGGATAATTGTGGGGTTGTAGTGACAAACCACGCATCGAATTTACAACGCACTTATCGACCAAATCAAACACGGCAGATGAAAGATCAAAGACGTTGAATGAAACACGTTCTGTAAGGGTCATGGAAAAAGAACTAGAGAGATAAGGTGACGGAGACAGAATGAAGGAAATAAAAAACGGAAATGGAAGTGTAAATGAGAACTGAAAGCTCAAATGAATAGAATTAGCAGAACGTTGAACGG